CAATTATGACAAATTAACATTTATCATTTCCAAAGAAACCTCTAATATACGAATAAAACACTTTAACGGTTTAAAACGCGAAATGTATTAGTCATGTGGGTAGTGGTAGTCAGCCTACTGCTGTAAAGCATTTGAAACGCTACATAAATTATAAATAAGTTAACTTATATATTTCGCGACATATACCGTTGAAAATGTTATATTCAAAAACTAACTACCGACCTACTTTCAAAGTTATATTTTCTTAGTGATTGACACCATTTAAAATTACAATATTTAAATAATTTCAAGAATTAAGACTTAACTTAAACATGACTTTTTTGTTACACAACAATACGATACTATATCTCACTTGGTTTTAATGCAAATATTTTAACAAAGAACATTATTTATTCTTTAAACGACGTATTCTTCTTTATATTAAGTATATATATTCACAATTATAGACTTGCACTTGTAAATATTTAATAATTTCGTCTTTTAATTCTAATTCTCAGCATATATAAACCGACTTAATTGTTTATTATTTTCGCGACTAATACTCAAAAAAAAAACTTCACTTCACAGACACGTTAAACATTTTAACAAATTTAAAGACATGTAAAATTACCAAGGTATTTCGTTTTAAACCGTCAAAGAAGTTTTAATTTATGTACCTTTACTTTTATATATCAATTTTCTGTACCTGAACTATCTTTACGAAGGACTTTATATCATTATGGTGAAAAACGTTAAAAGAATAATCTTAGTCTAGTCTTTCTTTAAAAATTTTATTATTCGTCTCTGTCACGAAAACGTTAAAGAAAGAACATACTTTCTTTGAATTCAATCGTGTCGTTACAGCAAAACACACAAGTTTGATCAACAAGTTAAATAAATGATATGTAAAACGGACTTTAAAATATGTCTGCCTCATGCAGGAAGAACAGGATTTCTCGGGAATACCAACGTTTGTCTTCGCTGTAGTTGTTGTCATGTTTAAGTTAAGCTAAACGACTTTATAATACGCAATTTTAAACACCAATTAGAGGCAGGCTGTTCAAACATCATCTATGTACGTATGATGGCAAATAATACTTTGTGTATTTAAGCTCTATCCAGCAAAATAAATACAACGAACTCGCGCATTCGTTCCACTTCGCCTGCGATCTCATTTGCGGTTCTCAGAGGAGAACACAATGCCTATGTACCTATATTTCTGAATTTTATGCCTACGTGCATGGCCAGCGTAATGCGAGCCGTCATTCCGAAAAGAGTGATGGCACACCGAGGGTAGTTTAGACTTTTGCGAGCGATTCGGAGGGCCAATTTCCACTGGACGCTGCCGGTGTGTGCGTTTAGTTGGATAGTGTAGGGGGCGCTACCCCCTCAACGCGTCATCGTTGACTATTGCGCTTGTGTTAGAGAATGCACATTTAAAATGCCCACCCCATGACGATCAGCGCGCCGCCATTTTAGTTCTTTTTTACGTAATGATTTTTTGGCGTGGCAATGTTGGCGTTTTTAGACGTTTTAGATGCATGGTGGTAGACTTCTTGCTGTTGCCATTGGTCACTTTATAGGAATTGTAGATCTGTATTTGATAAGTAATGTAGCTTTAATAAACAGATGCCGACGATAGATAATATCAACGAATTCTTTTTTAAAATTAAATTTACAAAGAACTATTTCATCAACATTTAATGAATGTTAACGTTTAAGTAAAACACTTTAACTGTTTAAAATGCAATGTATATTAGTTAAACTTATTAAAAAAATATTTTAACTACGGCGCGACGTATAATTTTCATATGAGTTTAACTAATATATATCGCGTTTTAAACCGTTAAAGTGTTTTATTTAAATGACTACTCTCGAAAGCTGCAGAATGTAAAACGATTAAAAAGGGGAAGTATAGGATTTAATTGTTCATTTCAATCCGAAATTAAGTTATTAGAAAACTTATACTTAACGTAAAACGTGATATTATATTTAAAATCGTAGGTTTTATGATTCTTTTGCGTAATAGTATTTATCAAAAGCAAAATACGATGTATAAAAATTATAATCAACTATATTTAAGTTAATATTTAAATATAGATTAACTCTTAGATCAAAACTAAATTACATTGCAACAATCTATAGAGAAATAAATCAATTTTGCGCTTAGTGGTTCTTACTAATACCGGATTTGTAAACGAATAGAGTACTTCCAGTAGGTAGTACATAAGGAATGACTATAGATACTTTGCTATATTTAGGTTCGATTTCTCTGTTCTTTTTATCTTAAAATTTGATTAAAAATCACGACTGGGACAGGATTTGAACCGGCATCCGGCAACCGGCGGAAGATGTTCCATGCTGTTGCTCTAGTCTCTCTACCTACCGAGTCCTTTCTGACCGTCAAGTCCTGCCCGGCTCGACCATTTTTTCAATTTATATAGTGACATCATGTGCAATAATATGTGAAAAAGTAATAATTATGAAAAGACAATGATTAATATATCAGTAATTGGATCCTACGTTACGTTAAAAAAATTGTAAATGTTTAAAATGAGGCACTCAAAAACTTACTTTTTAGATTTGCCACTCACAGTTACACTAACTTACATCGATAAAACTAACTAAGAACCACCAGATCCACTGAAAGTCACTCAAAGAATGAATAAAAGACATAAGGGCAACGGTCATCTCTTATTCTCACATAAATTTGTTTATATTAGCATTAAAATCGGGATAAAACATAATCAAAGGGTCATCTTAACCTGAAACCGGTTCCTTTGTCGGTCGGGAGAAGAAAGTGTTAATGTCTACTTGACTATGCCCTGATCTATTTATAATACTAAACTAAGTTTTAGTATATCGTATGTCTATATTTTAGTGCTCGCGACTTTTCCACGATTATTTCTTTTTGCAAACAACGTCCTCAGCTTTATTAATTATAGATGTTACCAGTGGCGGCTGGTGGTTATGGATGGTACTTGCTACTTACCAGATGAAACAAATTAGGAAATTCAACAAAACAACAATTGACATAAAATATGTTTATTTTGTAAAGATTAAAAATCTTAATAAAAAAAGAAGAGAGCTCTTGGTATACTTCGGTCAGCTCGTGTGGCGCTCGAGAAACAAATAATATCTCAGTACAGTAATTCTATGAACTATCTTTTGTTTCAAACGTTAGGCGTTTTGGCTCCCTCATACAAGTCGTAAATATTAAAATGGTATTTGAAGTAAAATTTTGTAATTTTTAAGTATTAAATACTGTCTATAGTTTACGCGAGTAGTACACATTTAAATAAAACACTTTAACGGTTTAAAACGCGATATATTAGTTAAACTTATTTGAAAATGATTTTTAACTTCGGCCCGACGTTTCGATTTTGCAGCAGCCGTGGTCACGGGGAACGGGGGTCATTTTCAAATAAGTTTAACTAATATATCGTTTTAAACCGTTAAATTTTATAAATTTAATATTTTCTGTCATGGATGTTGGTAAAAACCAAAACCAAAATGGCGATTTTGTTTGGAGTTGTTTATAAATTATTTCGAATGATTTATTGCAAAAATAAAATATAACACAGTATTTTGTGTTTTTTTTAAATGGACTTATTAATCACGAACTGTTGTTGTGCTACCAGTTGATATTATTTATATTAAGCAGCAAAAATAAAATATTAAGTTGCGTAAAGCGACATCTCTTAACTGTGAATGTAACTATTATTCATCATACTACAAATATATCGATTATTCTTAAAACAATCACTAGAGGTCAGTTTTATGCCAAGTGTAACTAATAATCTAATATCATAATGAAATTATAAAACCGCAAGTTTTATAATTTTATTATGATAAAGCTAACTTCCTAGTAATAATATTATCATTATTTTTTTGTCAAACGGTATTTATTGTAATAAAATCTAAACCTTAATTGCTTACCAATACAATCAGATGAATTGATTTTGTAAACTTATTATAATTGCTATTATATAATCATTGAACTTTAATATTCTAGGTATTGTTATAAAAGTCGAAAGCTTAATAAATATATCATACATAACTTTATGTTCGCAATCGAAAACGAAGTAAAAATATAAATGTGCGCCATCTTCCGCTTTTTATCGAAAACTACCTAATTGAAAAAGTTTAAATCCATTTTTATTACATCGTTCATCCTTTGTTACGAACCTTTTTTATAATGTTGTGTATAACCGTTTAGAAACGTAAACTCCCGAGTTTCGGGTACCAGAGATTGTTGTGTATAACAGTTTGGAAAGTATACGTGAATGTATATGAAAGTTATATAAAATAAATGTTAAGAGGGAGGCCAGATAACCAAACCCAATGAGTGCTGTAGTACAACTGATTTATTTCCTACCAATGTTGTTCTAATATAATTTACAATTAGTGGGAAAGTAGGATGCTCACCAAGCTAACCTTGTAATATTTGCTTTTAAAAAAACACTTTGCACAACGTTGACTTAGATTTGGATTGTAGAAAAAGATACAGTCAATGAGCTTTTGTATGGCACACAATCTCAAAACATTATAAAGATCATGAGTAACGGTTTTGTAAATTTCCATCAGTTTGTTGACAAAAGTGTTTTCAAACTGTAATGAAACAAAAATAAATTATTGCTATTAATTTTTTAAGCAAAAATTTAGAAAAGTACATAACTCATGTTTCATAAGACCTACAATCTACTTTTTTATAATATGCAGTGATTTAAATAATAGTTTAAGTTTACGTAATAATTGGAATTGAAATTAAATGTTAAAAATGATCAGGGTTAAAGATATAGTAATTATCTACGCCATTAAGGCTCAGTTTTGATAGAATACACCTAATATGTATGTTTAGGAGAAATTAAAAATATTGGTAGAAATAAAACAAAGTATTTTATTAATGCCCTTTAATTAATAATGATTATAAAGATCAAATTCCAGATAAGATGTATCTCGTTCTAGCAATATTAATAACGTATACATTCAAATGACGAGACTTTTTTTAAATCGTCAACTTAACAATCAGTACAGGCTAAGCCTTTTCTGCCGTATCTGATGACGAATTGGCGACGGCTAAATCTGCACGAATTACGTACGCGACCTCTGCCTTGACCATATGTCGCTAAAGCTGTACTTGAGGATGAGGCAGACGAAGCAGCGCCTCCCGAACTACCTCCATTTATGACGACAACCTGGTTATCCTGATATCCATATGGCCCGAATGCTCCTGGACCGTAAGAAAGACCATTTACTCCTAAACCATTTCCATTATAGTTGAAAACAGGCAAATCTGCTCCTTGAGAGCTTGAAGAAGATGAAGCAGCAGCGGAAGATGAACCACTTCCAGATTCATAATTGTTAATGATGGTCACGCCTCTTTTGTTTGAAGCAGCTGCTGCAGCTGTGGCAGCTGCTGTAGCAGCTTCTAAGGCAGCCTCTTCTGCTAAAAGAGTTGCGTACTTGTCTGAGGAACCTGAAGCAGCGGATGCGGATGCAGATGCAGCTGAAGCGGATGATGAACCAGATCCTGCACCGTTATTGACGATAGTAACGCCACGACGATTGGCAGCGGCGGCTACGGCAGCTTGTTCAGCTGCTTCTAAGGCGGCCTCTTGTGCGACGAGGGTTGCGTACTGGTCTGATAGACCTGAGCCGGATGCAGTGGAAGCGCTTGAAGCAGAAGCGCTGCTAGCGCTAGATCCTGAGCCTTCGTTGTTGTTGATAATGATAGTGTCATCACCGTTAACTCCGTTGAGTCCAGATAATCCGAGTCCGTTAGCACCACCGTATCCACGTCCTGCAGCGGCTGCGGTAGCGGCGGCGGCGGCGGCGGAAGCGACGGATCCTTGTCCTTGCGAGCCGAGAAGACCGTTCGATCCGTAAAGTCCAGCGCCTAATCCTCCGAGACCGTTAAGGCCGCCAAGGCCAGAACCCAATCCTCCTTGGCCACCGGCAGCGGAGGCTGAGGACGATGCTGATGCGGCGGATGATGATCCAGAGCCAGAATCATCGTCATTAACAATAACTAGAGGTCCTCGTTTACCACCATATAAAACACTGTTTTGGAAACCGTTAAGACCATCAGCGGCTTCTAAGGCAGCCTCTTGTGCAGCGAGGGATCCGTACAGGCCTGATGGACCAGATCCAGAACCAGCGGCAGCGCTAGATGCCGAAGCTGAACTAGCTGAAGATCCTGAGCCTCCGTTGTTGTTGTTGTTGAAGATGACGGTGTCTTGACCATTGTTACCGTAGAGTCCAGATGAACCGAGTCCATAAATACCACCTAAACCGCGTCCAGCACCACCGGCGGCAGCGGCCGCGGAGGCAGCAGAAGAAGCAGAGCCAGCGCCTTGTCCTTGAAGGCCGAGGAGACCGTTCGATCCGTATAACCCACCGAGACCATTGAGACCGCCGATTCCAGATCCTTGTCCGCCGGCGGCAGATGCGGATGATGATGCGGCTGACGAGGAGCCAGATCCGTAACCGTTCAATCCGTTGCCTAAACCACCGAGACCTCCGATTCCGGAGCCCAAGCCTCCTTGACCGCCGGCGGCGGATGCGGATGCGGATGCAGCTGAAGCGGATGATGAACCAGATCCTGCACCGTTGTTGACGATAGTAACGCCACGACGATTGGCAGCGGCGGCTACGGCAGCTTGTTCAGCTGCTTCTAAGGCGGCCTCTTGTGCGACGAGGGTTGCGTACTGGTCTGATAGACCCGAGCCGGATGCAGCGGATGCGCTTGAAGCAGAAGCGCTGCTAGCGCTAGATCCTGAACCTCCGTTGTTGTTGATAATGATAGTGTCATCGCCGTTAACTCCGTTGAGTCCAGATAATCCGAGTCCGTTAGCACCACCGTATCCACGTCCTGCAGCGGCTGCGGCAGCGGCGGCGGCGGAAGCGGCGGATCCTTGTCCTTGCGAGCCGAGAAGACCGTTCGATCCGTAAAGTCCAGCGCCTAATCCTCCGAGACCGTTAAGGCCGCCAAGGCCAGAACCCAATCCTCCTTGGCCACCGGCAGCGGAGGCTGAGGACGATGCTGATGCGGCGGATGATGATCCAGAGCCAGAATCATTGTTGTTGATGACGGTGACGCCACGTTGGTTTGCGTATGGTGCGTATTGTGCGGCAGCGGCGGATGCAGCGGCGGCGGCTTCGGCGGCCTCTAAGGCAGCCTCTTGTGGGCCGAGGGATCCGTAGAGGCCTGATAGACCAGATCCAGAACCAGCGGCAGCGCTAGATGCCGAAGCTGAACTAGCTGAAGATCCTGAGCCTCCGTTGTTGTTGTTGAAGATGACGGTGTCTTGACCATTGTTACCGTAGAGTCCAGATGAACCGAGTCCATAAATACCACCTAAACCGCGTCCAGCACCACCGGCGGCAGCGGCCGCGGAGGCAGCAGAAGAAGCAGAGCCAGCGCCTTGTCCTTGAAGGCCGAGGAGACCGTTCGATCCGTATAACCCACCGAGACCATTGAGACCGCCGATTCCAGATCCTTGTCCGCCGGCGGCAGATGCGGATGATGATGCGGCTGACGACGAGCCAGATCCGTAACCGTTCAATCCGTTGCCTAAACCACCGAGACCTCCGATTCCGGAGCCCAAGCCTCCTTGACCGCCGGCGGCGGATGCGGATGCGGATGCAGCTGAAGCGGATGATGAACCAGATCCTGCACCGTTGTTGACGATAGTAACGCCACGACGATTGGCAGCGGCGGCTACGGCAGCTTGTTCAGCTGCTTCTAAGGCGGCCTCTTGTGCGACGAGGGTTGCGTACTGGTCTGATAGACCCGAGTCGGATGCAGCGGATGCGCTTGAAGCAGAAGCGCTGCTAGCGCTAGATCCTGAACCTCCGTTGTTGTTGATAATGATAGTGTCATCGCCGTTAACTCCGTTGAGTCCAGATAATCCGAGTCCGTTAGCACCACCGTATCCACGTCCTGCAGCGGCTGCGGCAGCGGCGGCGGCGGAAGCGGCGGATCCTTGTCCTTGCGAGCCGAGAAGACCGTTCGATCCGTAAAGTCCAGCGCCTAATCCTCCGAGACCGTTAAGGCCGCCAAGGCCAGAACCCAATCCTCCTTGGCCACCGGCAGCGGAGGCTGAGGACGATGCTGATGCGGCGGATGATGATCCAGAGCCAGAATCATTGTTGTTGATGACGGTGACGCCACGTTGGTTTGCGTATGGTGCGTATTGTGCGGCAGCGGCGGATGCGGCGGCGGCGGCTTCGGCGGCCTCTAAGGCAGCCTCTTGTGGGCCGAGGGATCCGTAGAGGCCTGATAGACCAGATCCAGAACCAGCGGCAGCGCTAGATGCCGAAGCTGAACTAGCTGAAGATCCTGAGCCTCCGTTGTTGTTGTTGAAGATGACGGTGTCTTGACCATTGTTACCGTAGAGTCCAGATGAACCGAGTCCATAAATACCACCTAAACCGCGTCCAGCACCACCGGCGGCAGCGGCCGCGGAGGCAGCAGAAGAAGCAGAGCCAGCGCCTTGTCCTTGAAGGCCGAGGAGACCGTTCGATCCGTATAACCCACCGAGACCATTGAGACCGCCGATTCCAGATCCTTGTCCGCCGGCGGCAGATGCGGATGATGATGCGGCTGACGACGAGCCAGATCCGTAACCGTTCAATCCGTTGCCTAAACCACCGAGACCTCCGATTCCGGAGCCCAAGCCTCCTTGACCGCCGGCGGCGGATGCGGATGCGGATGCAGCTGAAGCGGATGATGAACCAGATCCTGCACCGTTGTTGACGATAGTAACGCCACGACGATTGGCAGCGGCGGCTACGGCAGCTTGTTCAGCTGCTTCTAAGGCGGCCTCTTGTGCGACGAGGGTTGCGTACTGGTCTGATAGACCCGAGCCGGATGCAGCGGATGCGCTTGAAGCAGAAGCGCTGCTAGCGCTAGATCCTGAACCTCCGTTGTTGTTGATAATGATAGTGTCATCGCCGTTAACTCCGTTGAGTCCAGATAATCCGAGTCCGTTAGCACCACCGTATCCACGTCCTGCAGCGGCTGCGGCAGCGGCGGCGGCGGCGGCGGAAGCGGCGGATCCTTGTCCTTGCGAGCCGAGAAGACCGTTCGATCCGTAAAGTCCAGCGCCTAATCCTCCGAGACCGTTAAGGCCGCCAAGGCCAGAACCCAATCCTCCTTGGCCACCGGCAGCGGAGGCTGAGGACGATGCTGATGCGGCGGATGATGATCCAGAGCCAGAATCATTGTTGTTGATGACGGTGACGCCACGTTGGTTTGCGTATGGTGCGTATTGTGCGGCAGCGGCGGATGCGGCGGCGGCGGCTTCGGCGGCCTCTAAGGCAGCCTCTTGTGGGCCGAGGGATCCGTAGAGGCCTGATAGACCAGATCCAGAACCAGCGGCAGCGCTAGATGCCGAAGCTGAACTAGCTGAAGATCCTGAGCCTCCGTTGTTGTTGTTGAAGATGACGGTGTCTTGACCATTGTTACCGTAGAGTCCAGATGAACCGAGTCCATAAATACCACCTAAACCGCGTCCAGCACCACCGGCGGCAGCGGCCGCGGAGGCAGCAGAAGAAGCAGAGCCAGCGCCTTGTCCTTGAAGGCCGAGGAGACCGTTCGATCCGTATAACCCACCGAGACCATTGAGACCGCCGATTCCAGATCCTTGTCCGCCGGCGGCAGATGCGGATGATGATGCGGCTGACGACGAGCCAGATCCGTAACCGTTCAATCCGTTGCCTAAACCACCGAGACCTCCGATTCCGGAGCCCAAGCCTCCTTGACCGCCGGCGGCGGATGCGGATGCGGATGCAGCTGAAGCGGATGATGAACCAGATCCTGCACCGTTGTTGACGATAGTAACGCCACGACGATTGGCAGCGGCGGCTACGGCAGCTTGTTCAGCTGCTTCTAAGGCGGCCTCTTGTGCGACGAGGGTTGCGTACTGGTCTGATAGACCCGAGCCGGATGCAGCGGATGCGCTTGAAGCAGAAGCGCTGCTAGCGCTAGATCCTGAACCTCCGTTGTTGTTGATAATGATAGTGTCATCGCCGTTAACTCCGTTGAGTCCAGATAATCCGAGTCCGTTAGCACCACCGTATCCACGTCCTGCAGCGGCTGCGGCAGCGGCGGCGGCGGCGGCGGAAGCGGCGGATCCTTGTCCTTGCGAGCCGAGAAGACCGTTCGATCCGTAAAGTCCAGCGCCTAATCCTCCGAGACCGTTAAGGCCGCCAAGGCCAGAACCCAATCCTCCTTGGCCACCGGCAGCGGAGGCTGAGGACGATGCTGATGCGGCGGATGATGATCCAGAGCCAGAATCATTGTTGTTGATGACGGTGACGCCACGTTGGTTTGCGTATGGTGCGTATTGTGCGGCAGCGGCGGATGCGGCGGCGGCGGCTTCGGCGGCCTCTAAGGCAGCCTCTTGTGGGCCGAGGGATCCGTAGAGGCCTGATAGACCAGATCCAGAACCAGCGGCAGCGCTAGATGCCGAAGCTGAACTAGCTGAAGATCCTGAGCCTCCGTTGTTGTTGTTGTTGAAGATGACGGTGTCTTGACCATTGTTACCGTAGAGTCCAGATGAACCGAGTCCATAAATACCACCTAAACCGCGTCCAGCACCACCGGCGGCAGCGGCCGCGGAGGCAGCAGAAGAAGCAGCGCCAGCGCCTTGTCCTTGAAGGCCGAGGAGACCGTTCGATCCGTATAACCCACCGAGACCATTGAGACCGCCGATTCCAGATCCTTGTCCGCCGGCGGCAGATGCGGATGATGATCGGTACGACGAGCCAGATCCGTAACCGTTCAATCCGTTGCCTAAACCACCGAGACCTCCGATTCCGGAGCCCAAGCCTCCTTGACCGCCGGCGGCGGATGCGGATGCGGATGCAGCTGAAGCGGATGATGAACCAGATCCTGCACCGTTGTTGACGATAGTAACGCCACGACGATTGGCAGCGGCGGCTACGGCAGCTTGTTCAGCTGCTTCTAAGGCGGCCTCTTGTGCGACGAGGGTTGCGTACTGGTCTGATAGACCCGAGCCGGATGCAGCGGATGCGCTTGAAGCAGAAGCGCTGCTAGCGCTAGATCCTGAACCTCCGTTGTTGTTGATAATGATAGTGTCATCGCCGTTAACTCCGTTGAGTCCAGATAATCCGAGTCCGTTAGCACCACCGTATCCACGTCCTGCAGCGGCTGCGGCAGCGGCGGCGGCGGCGGCGGAAGCGGCGGATCCTTGTCCTTGCGAGCCGAGAAGACCGTTCGATCCGTAAAGTCCAGCGCCTAATCCTCCGAGACCGTTAAGGCCGCCAAGGCCAGAACCCAATCCTCCTTGGCCACCGGCAGCGGAGGCTGAGGACGATGCTGATGCGGCGGATGATGATCCAGAGCCAGAATCATTGTTGTTGATGACGGTGACGCCACGTTGGTTTGCGTATGGTGCGTATTGTGCGGCAGCGGCGGATGCGGCGGCGGCGGCTTCGGCGGCCTCTAAGGCAGCCTCTTGTGGGCCGAGGGATCCGTAGAGGCCTGATAGACCAGATCCAGAACCAGCGGCAGCGCTAGATGCCGAAGCTGAACTAGCTGAAGATCCTGAGCCTCCGTTGTTGTTGTTGTTGAAGATGACGGTGTCTTGACCATTGTTACCGTAGAGTCCAGATGAACCGAGTCCATAAATACCACCTAAACCGCGTCCAGCACCACCGGCGGCAGCGGCCGCGGAGGCAGCAGAAGAAGCAGAGCCAGCGCCTTGTCCTTGAAGGCCGAGGAGACCGTTCGATCCGTATAACCCACCGAGACCATTGAGACCGCCGATTCCAGATCCTTGTCCGCCGGCGGCAGATGCGGATGATGATGCGGCTGACGAGGAGCCAGATCCGTAACCGTTCAATCCGTTGCCTAAACCACCGAGACCTCCGATTCCGGAGCCCAAGCCTCCTTGACCGCCGGCGGCGGATGCGGATGCGGATGCAGCTGAAGCGGATGATGAACCAGATCCTGCACCGTTGTTGACGATAGTAACGCCACGACGATTGGCAGCGGCGGCTACGGCAGCTTGTTCAGCTGCTTCTAAGGCGGCCTCTTGTGCGACGAGGGTTGCGTACTGGTCTGATAGACCCGAGCCGGATGCAGCGGATGCGCTTGAAGCAGAAGCGCTGCTAGCGCTAGATCCTGAACCTCCGTTGTTGTTGATAATGATAGTGTCATCGCCGTTAACTCCGTTGAGTCCAGATAATCCGAGTCCGTTAGCACCACCGTATCCACGTCCTGCAGCGGCTGCGGCAGCGGCGGCGGCGGCGGCGGAAGCGGCGGATCCTTGTCCTTGCGAGCCGAGAAGACCGTTCGATCCGTAAAGTCCAGCGCCTAATCCTCCGAGACCGTTAAGGCCGCCAAGGCCAGAACCCAATCCTCCTTGGCCACCGGCAGCGGAGGCTGAGGACGATGCTGATGCGGCGGATGATGATCCAGAGCCAGAATCATTGTTGTTGATGACGGTGACGCCACGTTGGTTTGCGTATGGTGCGTATTGTGCGGCAGCGGCGGATGCGGCGGCGGCGGCTTCGGCGGCCTCTAAGGCAGCCTCTTGTGGGCCGAGGGATCCGTAGAGGCCTGATAGACCAGATCCAGAACCAGCGGCAGCGCTAGATGCCGAAGCTGAACTAGCTGAAGATCCTGAGCCTCCGTTGTTGTTGTTGTTGAAGATGACGGTGTCTTGACCATTGTTACCGTAGAGTCCAGATGAACCGAGTCCATAAATACCACCTAAACCGCGTCCAGCACCACCGGCGGCAGCGGCCGCGGAGGCAGCAGAAGAAGCAGCGCCAGCGCCTTGTCCTTGAAGGCCGAGGAGACCGTTCGATCCGTATAATCCACCGAGACCATTGAGACCGCCGATTCCAGATCCTTGTCCGCCGGCGGCAGATGCGGATGATGATGCGGCTGACGAGGAGCCAGATCCGTAACCGTTCAATCCGTTGCCTAAACCACCGAGACCTCCGATTCCGGAGCCCAAGCCTCCTTGACCGCCGGCGGCGGATGCGGATGCGGATGCAGCTGAAGCGGATGATGAACCAGATCCTGCACCGTTGTTGACGATAGTAACGCCACGACGATTGGCAGCGGCGGCTACGGCAGCTTGTTCAGCTGCTTCTAAGGCGGCCTCTTGTGCGACGAGGGTTGCGTACTGGTCTGATAGACCCGAGCCGGATGCAGCGGATGCGCTTGAAGCAGAAGCGCTGCTAGCGCTAGATCCTGAACCTCCGTTGTTGTTGATAATGATAGTGTCATCGCCGTTAACTCCGTTGAGTCCAGATAATCCGAGTCCGTTAGCACCACCGTATCCACGTCCTGCAGCGGCTGCGGCAGCGGCGGCGGCGGCGGCGGAAGCGGCGGATCCTTGTCCTTGCGAGCCGAGAAGACCGTTCGATCCGTAAAGTCCAGCGCCTAATCCTCCGAGACCGTTAAGGCCGCCAAGGCCAGAACCCAATCCTCCTTGGCCACCGGCAGCGGAGGCTGAGGACGATGCTGATGCGGCGGATGATGATCCAGAGCCAGAATCATTGTTGTTGATGACGGTGACGCCACGTTGGTTTGCGTATGGTGCGTATTGTGCGGCAGCGGCGGATGCGGCGGCGGCGGCTTCGGCGGCCTCTAAGGCAGCCTCTTGTGGGCCGAGGGATCCGTAGAGGCCTGATAGACCAGATCCAGAACCAGCGGCAGCGCTAGATGCCGAAGCTGAACTAGCTGAAGATCCTGAGCCTCCGTTGTTGTTGTTGTTGAAGATGACGGTGTCTTGACCATTGTTACCGTAGAGTCCAGATGAACCGAGTCCATAAATACCACCTAAACCGCGTCCAGCACCACCGGCGGCAGCGGCCGCGGAGGCAGCAGAAGAAGCAGAGCCAGCGCCTTGTCCTTGAAGGCCGAGGAGACCGTTCGATCCGTATAACCCACCGAGACCATTGAGACCGCCGATTCCAGATCCTTGTCCGCCGGCGGCAGATGCGGATGATGATGCGGCTGACGAGGAGCCAGATCCGTAACCGTTCAATCCGTTGCCTAAACCACCGAGACCTCCGATTCCGGAGCCCAAGCCTCCTTGACCGCCGGCGGCGGATGCGGATGCGGATGCAGCTGAAGCGGATGATGAACCAGATCCTGCACCGTTGTTGACGATAGTAACGCCACGACGATTGGCAGCGGCGGCTACGGCAGCTTGTTCAGCTGCTTCTAAGGCGGCCTCTTGTGCGACGAGGGTTGCGTACTGGTCTGATAGACCCGAGCCGGATGCAGCGGATGCGCTTGAAGCAGAAGCGCTGCTAGCGCTAGATCCTGAACCTCCGTTGTTGTTGATAATGATAGTGTCATCGCCGTTAACTCCGTTGAGTCCAGATAATCCGAGTCCGTTAGCACCACCGTATCCACGTCCTGCAGCGGCTGCGGCAGCGGCGGCGGCGGCGGCGGAAGCGGCGGATCCTTGTCCTTGCGAGCCGAGAAGACCGTTCGATCCGTAAAGTCCAGCGCCTAATCCTCCGAGACCGTTAAGGCCGCCAAGGCCAGAACCCAATCCTCCTTGGCCACCGGCAGCGGAGGCTGAGGACGATGCTGATGCGGCGGATGATGATCCAGAGCCAGAATCATTGTTGTTGATGACGGTGACGCCACGTTGGTTTGCGTATGGTGCGTATTGTGCGGCAGCGGCGGATGCGGCGGCGGCGGCTTCGGCGGCCTCTAAGGCAGCCTCTTGTGGGCCGAGGGATCCGTAGAGGCCTGATAGACCAGATCCAGAACCAGCGGCAGCGCTAGATGCCGAAGCTGAACTAGCTGAAGATCCTGAGCCTCCGTTGTTGTTGTTGTTGAAGATGACGGTGTCTTGACCATTGTTACCGTAGAGTCCAGATGAACCGAGTCCATAAATACCACCTAAACCGCGTCCAGCACCACCGGCGGCAGCGGCCGCGGAGGCAGCAGAAGAAGCAGAGCCAGCGCCTTGTCCTTGAAGGCCGAGGAGACCGTTCGATCCGTATAACCCACCGAGACCATTGAGACCGCCGATTCCAGATCCTTGTCCGCCGGCGGCAGATGCGGATGATGATGCGGCTGACGACGAGCCAGATCCGTAACCGTTCAATCCGTTGCCTAAACCACCGAGACCTCCGATTCCGGAGCCCAAGCCTCCTTGACCGCCGGCGGCGGATGCGGATGCGGATGCAGCTGAAGCGGATGATGAACCAGATCCTGCACCGTTGTTGACGATAGTAACGCCACGACGATTGGCAGCGGCGGCTACGGCAGCTTGTTCAGCTGCTTCTAAGGCGGCCTCTTGTGCGACGAGGGTTGCGTACTGGTCTGATAGACCCGAGCCGGATGCAGCGGATGCGCTTGAAGCAGAAGCGCTGCTAGCGCTAGATCCTGAACCTCCGTTGTTGTTGATAATGATAGTGTCATCGCCGTTAACTCCGTTGAGTCCAGATAATCCGAGTCCGTTAGCACCACCGTATCCACGTCCTGCAGCGGCTGCGGCAGCGGCGGCGGCGGCGGCGGAAGCGGCGGATCCTTGTCCTTGCGAGCCGAGAAGACCGTTCGATCCGTAAAGTCCAGCGCCTAATCCTCCGAGACCGTTAAGGCCGCCAAGGCCAGAACCCAATCCTCCTTGGCCACCGGCAGCGGAGGCTGAGGACGATGCTGATGCGGCGGATGATGATCCAGAGCCAGAATCATTGTTGTTGATGACGGTGACGCCACGTTGGTTTGCGTATGGTGCGTATTGTGCGGCAGCGGCGGATGCGGCGGCGGCGGCTTCGGCGGCCTCTAAGGCAGCCTCTTGTGGGCCGAGGGATCCGTAGAGGCCTGATAGACCAGATCCAGAACCAGCGGCAGCGCTAGATGCCGAAGCTGAACTAGCTGAAGATCCTGAGCCTCCGTTGTTGTTGTTGTTGAAGATGACGGTGTCTTGACCATTGTTACCGTAGAGTCCAGATGAACCGAGTCCATAAATACCACCTAAACCGCGTCCAGCACCACCGGCGGCAGCGGCCGCGGAGGCAGCAGAAGAAGCAGAGCCAGCGCCTTGTCCTTGAAGGCCGAGGAGACCGTTCGATCCGTATAATCCACCGAGACCATTGAGACCGCCGATTCCAGATCCTTGTCCGCCGGCGGCAGATGCGGATGATGATGCGGCTGACGACGAGCCAGATCCGTAACCGTTCAATCCGTTGCCTAAACCACCGAGACCTCCGATTCCGGAGCCCAAGCCTCCTTGACCGCCGGCGGCGGATGCGGATGCGGATGCAGCTGAAGCGGATGATGAACCAGATCCTGCACCGTTGTTGACGATAGTAACGCCACGACGATTGGCAGCGGCGGCTACGGCAGCTTGTTCAGCTGCTTCTAAGGCGGCCTCTTGTGCGACGAGGGTTGCGTACTGGTCTGATAGACCCGAGCCGGATGCAGCGGATGCGCTTGAAGCAGAAGCGCTGCTAGCGCTAGATCCTGAACCTCCGTTGTTGTTGATAATGATAGTGTCATCGCCGTTAACTCCGTTGAGTCCAGATAATCCGAGTCCGTTAGCACCACCGTATCCACGTCCTGCAGCGGCTGCGGCAGCGGCGGCGGCGGCGGCGGAAGCGGCGGATCCTTGTCCTTGCGAGCCGAGAAGACCGTTCGATCCGTAAAGTCCAGCGCCTAATCCTCCGAGACCGTTAAGGCCGCCAAGGCCAGAACCCAATCCTCCTTGGCCACCGGCAGCGGAGGCTGAGGACGATGCTGATGCGGCGGATGATGATCCAGAGCCAGAATCATTGTTGTTGATGACGGTGACGCCACGTTGGTTTGCGTATGGTGCGTATTGTGCGGCAGCGGCGGATGCGGCGGCGGCGGCTTCGGCGGCCTCTAAGGCAGCCTCTTGTGGGCCGAGGGATCCGTAGAGGCCTGATAGACCAGATCCAGAACCAGCGGCAGCGCTAGATGCCGAAGCTGAACTAGCTGAAGATCCTGAGCCTCCGTTGTTGTTGTTGTTGAAGATGACGGTGTCTTGACCATTGTTACCGTAGAGTCCAGATGAACCGAGTCCATAAATACCACCTAAACCGCGTCCAGCACCACCGGCGGCAGCGGCCGCGGAGGCAGCAGAAGAAGCAGAGCCAGCGCCTTGTCCTTGAAGGCCGAGGAGACCGTTCGATCCGTATAACCCACCGAGACCATTGAGACCGCCGATTCCAGATCCTTGTCCGCCGGCGGCAGATGCGGATGATGATGCGGCTGACGAGGAGCCAGATCCGTAACCGTTCAATCCGTTGCCTAAACCACCGAGACCTCCGATTCCGGAGCCCAAGCCTCCTTGACCGCCGGCGGCGGATGCGGATGCGGATGCGGAGCACTGAAGCGGATGATGAACCAGATCCTGCACCGTTGTTGACGATAGTAACGCCACGACGATTGGCAGCGGCGGCTACGGCAGCTTGTTCAGCTGCTTCTAAGGCGGCCTCTTGTGCGACGAGGGTTGCGTACTGGTCTGATAGACCCGAGCCGGATGCAGCGGATGCGCTTGAAGCAGAAGCGCTGCTAGCGCTAGATCCTGAACCTCCGTTGTTGTTGATAATGATAGTGTCATCGCCGTTAACTCCGTTGAGTCCAGATAATCCGAGTCCGTTAGCACCACCGTATCCACGTCCTGCAGCGGCTGCGGCAGCGGCGGCGGCGGCGGCGGAAGCGGCGGATCCTTGTCCTTGCGAGCCGAGAAGACCGTTCGATCCGTAAAGTCCAGCGCCTAATCCTCCGAGACCGTTAAGGCCGCCAAGGCCAGAACCCAATCCTCCTTGGCCACCGGCAGCGGAGGCTGAGGACGATGCTGATGCGGCGGATGATGATCCAGAGCCAGAATCATTGTTGTTGATGACGGTGACGCCACGTTGGTTTGCGTATGGTGCGTATTGTGCGGCAGCGGCGGATGCGGCGGCGGCGGCTTCGGCGGCCTCTAAGGCAGCCTCTTGTGGGCCGAGGGATCCGTAGAGGCCTGATAGACCAGATCCAGAACCAGCGGCAGCGCTAGATGCTGATGCACTGGCCGAAGATCCTGAACCTCTGCTGTTGTTGTTAATGATAACAGTATCTTGGCCATTATTGCCATAGTTTCCTGTTGATCCCACAACCAGGGGGCCTCTAGGTCTGGAACTCAACACAGTCCTTGTTTCGGATACAGCAGAGGAGCCCGGTTGTTTCTTTTTGTGTATAAGCACATTCTCTTCCCATATTCTTTCATGGCCAGTTGCGTCAGTTTTAATGACAATTGTTGTGACCTTTTCGTCATCGCCTTGTACGTCTTTGTCGAAGTCTCCGAATGCTTCGTATTCTTTCGTTGTGGTTGATCGCTCGATAAGGTTTCCTTTTTGATCGACGTCAATTTCATCAGTTTCGTTAAATTTCTTTGTTTCTAGTCTGCCTTGTCTGACTGCATTTTGTAATGCATCATCAATGGCATCTGCAGACACATACTGAAACAATTTTTATTGTTTTATGAAACCATAGTGAGGAGTTTTAGTAAATCAACATTTCCTTAACGGCCTTACATTTTCTTTGAAGACTTTTAGTAATGAGTATTAGTATTTATACTTAAATTGGATAGATGGAATTAAATATTTTTCTAATTTACATATTGTAAATAATATTATTTTAATTTTAAAAAATATAGTATAATATTTAGAATACTTATCAACGGCAACCAATAAACGACTAAATTTCTAATTCTGAAATTTAGTTCTAGTAAAATATGGTTAAGGCGAAAATTTTTAAGACAGGTTTTAAACATATTAAAAGGAAATATATTTCAAAATTGCCCTTAGGACAAAACTTGGACTTACCTGCAGAGCACAGCACAAGATCACGAAGGTTGTGACTCTCATTTTGCTTTGAGAGTAGAGACCGAACTGATGCCTTCACCAAAACCCACTTCCCCTTTTATACTGAAAAAATCCAATTTTATTTACATTTCTCCCACGTAAATTCGATTTTGGAAGCACTTAAGTAAATATTATTTCAAAAGAAATTATATAGAAAATCAACCTTGCGATTTAAAAACAATGCAACTTAATTAAAACTTTATTATTCGCACTAAATTGTTTGCATTTTAAAATCGATTGATACCTATTGTTCATTCTAGATGTTCATAACAATAAAAGTAATTAATTTCTTGATTAATCTCTTAAAATATTACTTACAATTTGTACCTTAACTTGTCGGACTTGGAGTTAAGGGCAGAAGAATGTAACTTTACCGAAGGAAAAAGATGTTACGTTACTTGTATCGTAATAATGTTTATGTCATAAACACGATTTAGAAAGGCTTAAAAAAATTTAAAAGACTACTTATTTTATCTATTCAAGGTTAATTTTTAATTATTAAACACATTTTTGTTTTTTTCTGTGACTTATAAATTTATACTCAAAAGTCACATAACAGCTTATTTCATTTAAAACGTTTGAGAGAAAGGGTCGAAACGTACGCTGTCTATTGCGGGTTCTAAGTTCCGCTCGTAAATTGATGTAATAATACATACAAAAAATCGATTATAGATTGAAAAATAATACGACACGGGCAGGACCTGGACCGGCATTCACAACATTCCGTGCTGTTGCTCTAACCAATTGAGCTACGCGTCACCGTCGAATTTTTTCAACCGATTGATTCCTGCACCATTGCAACCCTAACAGTTGGGTATTACGCGACTTAATAATACAGTCTTGAGGTTTGCTTTCAGGATAACCTTAAAACTAGAAAGGTTCTGAAATTCCACATAGGATAATAATTTCAAATAGGAACTTCCTGCAAAGTTTCGCATTTTAAATTATTGTTTTATTTTGTCGTAATTGAGAAATGATTCTCGACGATTCCGAAATAACGGGAGGATAATACATATAATAAAAATTGCGCGTGCCTTTGCCCGCCGAACGCCTTAAAAACTCAAAGGAGCTTTGCAAAATTATAATAAAAAAAAACACTTTATTACACAAACTATTATAATATAAATTAATTATTAAAATAAATTAGTTAGTGCAAATGCGGCCTTATTGCCCATGGCGATTTCTTCCAGGCAACCTTTGTATAAAGAAAAGGCAAACAAAATAACAATAAAAGTCAACAAGAATACGAGAAAACATGCAATAAATTGTAAATTTCAATTATATCAAATACTAACACAAGAAAAATCGTTAACACACCAAACAATTAACAACTATTAAGTTTATATTTAGTCTCTTTCTAGGTACCACATTTACCACATATGTGGGTGCTTAACAGATAAGATTAATTGTACTAAGAACATTTTGGACGTGTGTTTGGACTTTAATATGACAATAATAAATCTCTTTATTTGGCATTTATTTTGTACTTTCATTAGAAGTATAAGAAATACATTCGACACGATTAAATTTAATTTGATTAAAAATGATGTCTAAAAATATATTTTGTTTTTGTTTATTACATTACATCATTTACAAATTGTATTAATGGCATATCTCCTTTTGGCTACGCAGTCGGTAAAAATAATGAATCCTTCTTACGTACTCGGATCAAAGGATGTTGATTACAACCACCTGTTTCTACACAAGTAAATATTCTTATTGAGATATCCACCAAGCGCAAATATTTGACAACATTTTATTTTGCGCGGGCAACACCTGAGTAACTCGACTTGATTAATCTATTGTTTTAATTTGTATTTGCCTTCGATAATTATCGATTCTTCTTCGATCTTTGATATTATGTTCAATGACGATGTTAATTTATACTAATATATAAAGCTGAAGAGTTTGTTTGTTTGAACGCGCTATTCTCAGGAACTACGGGTTTGAAATGAAACATTTTTGTGTTGGTTAGAACATTTATCTAGGAAGGCTATAAAACATTGCGCTGTGACTAATAGAAGCGAAGATACAGGGGGAAATGTGAACAAAACGGGTGAAGTTTTCATCTTTGTGGGTTTTAGATGCGTACACTGCGAAAACGGTTCAAGATTACTAACAAAAGTGTATGAAAGAATTATTTCTCTTTAAATGATCTAAAAAAAGACAATGACGATATATGTCTATCTTTTAAGATTAACTTGCAATAACGACGGGAAGGGACGCGACCGACGTCGTGAGTAAAGAAGCAAGGGGTTTGCAAAAACGAATTTGGATGTACAAAATAACGATTCTCACGGACGAAGTCGCTGATACAGCTAGTATATTATATGCCTATTTTCCCTTTTATCAATTTTAGCACTTATCTCTTTTTGACAGAGGGGATATGCAAGTTCACCTGATGAATTACTCCACATCTATATAAAATGCGCGGTCGACCTATTTCAGCTTTGGAAGTTAAGAGGCCGTTATACTTTATAGTTTTCTAAACTGATTTTATAAACAGTTTGCCAGGTCACAATCGAACCCACGATCCACTAAATATTATTAGCCATACATTGGTATCATTTGAGCAACGCGCCCGTCGTGCTAGCTCGATTAGTAAAAACAACGTTACGTAGCGCTGTAAATGTGGGTTCGAGTCCCGCCTGTGTAATCGACTTAATTTATTGATTTTATCAGTAAATTGGGATAGTTCTTGAGTATACCACTCATTAAAATTCAATGTTATACTTTAAGCCTCGTAATTCACGTTACAACAAATATTATGAGGCTCATTACAGTAAAAATTGTAGTGTCTTAAATATTCATTAACCTGTCTTACAAAATAGTTTTTTGTAAGACAGGTCTTTTAACGGAATAACAAAATGTCGAAAGTTATATAATTTATCAATTCTTTACGGGTGTCCAGTTTTTTTTTTAACAAAAAACCTGACACCCACGATTATTAGCTGCTTCACTAAAAGATGGTTAAAAAAAGGGCTAAAATAAAGCTCGAGGCACGTAAATATTCAATGAAAGGTGTGTGTGAGTGTGTGAAAGCCTGTTTCCCCCTCGTGGGACATGGGGCGAACACATTTCTGTGTCCGTTTCACTGATCCGTTCTTGTCCGTTAAAGACTTCGTTGATCAGACTTCAGTGCGATGCCCGACCGAAACAATTTTATGTTTTCCTGGGATTCGAACCCAGGGCCTCTCGCGCTTAACGCATTGCTAGGCAAGACGTATAACCATTTGGCTACAGAGGTGGTTCATCCTTCCAATGAGATGTACTTAATCTATTGTAAATAGTTCCACACACTCTGGTAAACTTACCAGTAAATAAAATCGTTCAGTGTAATTTCTTATATGTTTGCCCAGTGTCCCACATAGGGGCATAGGTGGTCCCGCTTTTAAATTTAAAATGGGTAAGTTAAATGGTAATTCGAGAGCTCTTTTAGTATGAGAATAGTATGTTTTTAAATTTATATTTAGGCGAGTAGTAGGTACACATTTAAAGTAAAACCTTAACTGTTAAAAACACGATATATTAGCAAAGCATCCGAAACATCGGGCCATAGTTAGAATGATATACATCGCGTTTTAAACTGTTAAGTGTTTTATTTAAATTATAAAATTGTTAACATGTTGGATACAACAGGAATCAAACTTGGATTCCGTTAGTTATTGTCCATCCATTGCCCTACATTCTGTTCCAATTTCGTCCCTATTTTTATACAATAATTTGTGTGCTCCACAACTTTTACTCTAATAGAATGCATGTCGTTTGAGGCGTCATCTTGCAAATTTCAATTCCCTTCGAATTGATCAATTATAATTCAACACAATGAGTTGCAATAATGTAATTATCTAATCTTATTCATTAATAGAAGTCGGTTATAATAACGGTTGTTTTGTCCCACTGGTAAGTATAATAAACCTTTGTTTCTTAAATTTGAATTCAAGTCTTATTATGATGTGGACAGGTAAGCGTAAGGCAGCCAGAGCAATGATGCGCGCTATCGACCTATTATCGCTTTTAACCGAAACGATTAAATTAGAATCTCCTTGTGGGGGCCCGGACTGAATTGATTGATACATTGATTATTGATGTTGGATCTTGGGGATAGCAACATGCGCTATAGACTGCTAATTAGACTACCGTATTCCGCCCCCGAAAAAAAGTAAAATTTGGTGCCAAAATTAGTCTCATCACTCTTCTTTATAAGTTCTAGACCTACGCCCGTGTCACGTTCGAGCAAGTTAACCGAAAATAATATACTGTCGCGATTTTTAGATAGATTAAAAGAATCATTTTTTTTTATTAAATACATAGCCTATATTCTACCTCAATAAATTCTCTAACACAAAAATAAGTTTTCAATTCGAACCAGTAAATCCTGAGATTACTACGTTTAAACATACAAACAAACTACTCAACTTATATAATATTTGTATAGATTTACAATTAAATAAAAAAAATAACAGTTAAAAACGCGATATATATTATTTAAACTTATTTGAAAATTATTTTAACGACGACCCGACGTGTCGGATGCTTTGCAGCAGCCGTGGTCTCTTCGTGACCAGGATGTATATTAAGACGATCTTTTGAAATCCTTTTGTTCTTTATCAAAATTGGTTTAGCATTTTAAGACGAAGGAGGAAACGAACGCACGAACTCAATAAGTGCATAATTGAGGTTGGTCGGCCAAATATTTGTCTAACTTTCTGTCGAATGTTTGGAGAGTTCCGTAAACAAGAGTGGATCTTCGCTCGTAAAGTGACCCTCTGTACTCTTTACCTCTTAATTAAGTAACAAGATTTATTGCGCAGAGAAACAGAGGTATTGAAAACTACTCTACTTAAGAAATATATATCCTCCTACCACAGTTCCCTAAAGATTTTGCATGGGTACCCTTAAAAAAAGCCTAGTATCTGAAGTTTTACGCGCAATACACATTTAAATAAAACACTTAAATAACAATTTTAAATATCGGTTCTCTACTTTAAACTTCGACTCGA